ATATAATATTAAATTAATAATTGTGTTAGGTAATTTCAATATTTTTGGTTTAAAACTTGATTCTTTTATTGCCAAAAATGGGATTTAAATGGAATTTCAATGTTAGAGAATTTCCTATGGATGAGATTAGCCTGGACATCTGTAAGATCTGTAAGATTACATAATCTTCGAGTGCTGCACACAGATAATGCAACTTAAGTAACTAGAGATTTTTGAAAATCAGCTAAAGATGAAGATGTAGATAAAGATTTCGCCCGATAAACCGATTACAGGTATTTACGCAATCGCACAAATACCTAACGGCTCAGCAGGTAGATCAATGCAGCTCTATTTACTAGAGTCTTGGGCCAAGGGCAAGGCCTTTCGCAGAAAATGATGGATTTATTAGGGAAAAGCGTGTTGGTTCACAAATGCGGCTTAGACGTAATTTGCGGCTTTTTGGCCAAGAACGAGAAGGTGATGGCAGTTGGCAGTTGGTTGTTTTCAGTCCGGGCTCATTTGCGTTAAATGCCAAAATAAATATGCATTGTATACAAGTGAGTGAGTAAGTAAAGGGAGAGTAAGAGAGAGAGAGGGAGAGGAGGAGAGCAAGAGCAAGTGCGTTGCACGTAAGTAATTCATATTTTTACGGTTACTTTGTCAGCGTCATAAATTTTGCGGGGCATGTGAATTATTTACTAGCAATGCGAACGCAAATGGCACCCGAGATGCTTCTACTACTACTACATACAGCTACCGAGGGGTGGGGAAGAGGTAGGAGGCGGGGGAGGGGGAAGGGGGCGTCAGGCGTCGGGGTTGCCATATAAATAACACAAAATATTATAAATTACACGCAGGGATGTAAAAACGCTGAGCAGAAGCGAAAAAATTTGTAGCCGCGAAAACATTTATGTATATAGGTATCTCTCTGTGTGTGTGTGTGTGTGAGTGTATGTGTGTGTGTGGAGAGAATATAAAAAGGAGGCAGAGCACATAAAATTAACCACATATTTCTTCATTTTTATGGCATTTATTATCACAGAAATGTTTGTGTGATAAAAGCGAAGCACAGCGCAAAAGGCGAACGATGAACGATGGCTGCGACGGCAACGACGACGACGACGACGATGGCGATGGCGCAAAAGGCAGCCATAAAAATGCAGCCATTTACCTTTTGATTTATGCACAGCAACAACAACAACATCAACTACGACAGCAGCACAGTTAAGAACGGTCGTTGGGGCGGCGGGGGCGTGGCACGCATATTGCCATCATGAAAATAAAAAATAACTGCAAAACAAGCAGCGCGAAAATAATGCAATAAATTTGACATTATCTGCGTTAATATAAAGGTAGTACGACCCTATCGAGGTCGCAAGAGAACTCCAACAAGATGTCATAAGACCCGAAATAGTCGAATCATACAAATCATAGCTGTTAAATAGTTGATTTTGCTGATAAAAAAAGAACTGAAAAACAAACTGCAATAAATTGAGTAGAGCCCATATGTGATTCAGTACACACACATATATATATATATACTAACAATAACTCACATAAAAAAGGATATACAACATCCTGCATGCCCTCTGGGTGGCTAGAGAGAGAAAGAGAGAGTGAGAAAGGGAAGCAGCGCGAGAAGGACAGCAAAGGTAGAGCTACCGAAAGACCGACTGTCGATAATTTATTGACAACAATTTATCTCGCAATAGTAACGAGCAGGAAAAACATACACATAAACACACGCACACACACACACACACACACACACGAGCACAGAAGGAAGAAAAATAGCCCCTGGCTTTGGTGACATTGAAATTTAACAACAAAAGATTCTTTAGAATAATTTCGATGTTGTCTTTTTTTTTTTTTGCAAAACGTCGAAATAACCCCGTGTGGAACCCCTAGAAATACCCAATCGGGGGTAGATTAATAAACCAAATTAATGGCTGCATTGTCGCAAAACGAAACAAAGCAAAATTTGGGCTAAAAAAATATGTGACACGTGCAGAAAGACCGAAAGACAAATTGACTATATAAATTTTATTGCCTTTGCTATTGGGTATTAATTGATTGCAAGAAAAGGTAAAAGGGAGTTGCCTAAGGCACATGGGACAGGGCTGACGGACAGGAAAAGCCGGGAAAGCGAAATTCATGAAAAATCTATGTTATGTAAAGTCGAAGTAGCCATTGAGGTATTTATGCGAATATTTATCGATATTATATATATAATATA